AGGAGGAGGAGGAGGAGGAGGAGGAGGAGGAGGAGGAGGGGAAAGAGGAGGAGGAGGAGGAGGAGGAGGAGGAGGGGGAGGAGGAGGAGGAGGAGGAGGAGGGAGGAAGGGAGGGAGGGAGGGTGGAGGGAGAAGGAAACCAGAGAGGAAGGACGGCAGAGGGAGTCGGACGGAGGAGGGCCAGTCGAGGCCTTGGCGGCCCTGCCTGGCGCTTGTCCGTCCTTCTCGGGGCCTCCCAGAGAGTCTTCTCGCCGCCACGGCGGGATCTGCCCGGAACGAGGGGTCAGCGTGGAACCCGGTGAGGATACAGTAGGGGCCCGACCACAAGACACCTTCCACAAGAGACCCAACCCCGAGACCCCAGGACGTCCGTTGATTTTCGGTGTGGGAGCGTGACGATTTCCATTGCAGAACACTCGGAACCCGAGAAACCCAGGGCACCCTGGAGGCAAGCAGGGTGTTTCTTGGCATGGGTCTCCACTGAATCTTGGGAGCGAGTTTGACCAGAGGAGGCTGAGCCCACAAGGAGCAAGTCCGTACGGACGGCTCGGTCCCCGTCTGGACTCCTTCCGTCCGGACGTGGCCTCGTCCTGAGAGGAGGCCGAGTCCATACGGAGCAAGTCCACACGGAGCGCTCGGTCTTCGCGTGGACGTACTCCGTCGGGACCTGGCCTTGCCCGATCCGAGTGGTGGGCGTGGGGCCGGCGGGAGAGCCGCCGCTGTCTCAAATTGGCTCTCCTCCGGGGGAGGAGCGAGGTCGGAGGGCGCAGGAGGGAGGCGCGGGGGCGAGACGGGAGGGGCGGGGGATGGTGGCACCGCTCTTGGTGCGGGCGGCGCCCGCCCAAACAGGTGTTGCTTCCTCCTCCTCCTCCTCCTCCTCCTCCTCCTCCTCCCCCTCCTCCTCCTCCTCCTCCTCCTCCTCCTCCCCCTCCTCCCCCTTCCTCCTTCCCTCCCTCCCTCTGCCCTCCCTCCCTCCCTCCCTCCCTCCCTCCCCTGGGCCCCGCTTTCGAGTGTCACCTGCGCGGCCGCTGTATGAGTGCAGGCATTGGCGCACGAGCGGCGCGCATGACTCCAGACCCGCGCAGGCGCCCGCCTCCAGCCTTGAGGCTGGGCGAACGCGGGGGGGGTGTCAACGCGTGGGGGCGTGGGCCGCCTGCTTCGCTTGGTCCAGGGGCAACTATAGGGAAGGATACGCAAAAGGGGGGGATGCATCGACACCCAATCGCCCTTTGATCGCCGATCGGGGGCTGACAGCCTCAACCTTGGCAGGGAAGTGCGGATTTACTACTGGAGGCCTGTCGACGATCTATCGGCGACGTATCGACGACTCCAGGTCGCTACGCCAGTCCTCCCCTATCGTTGCCCCTCATTGGTGGGCACTTTTTGCGCAACTGGCGGCATGGAGGAATCGGAGGAAGACGAGGACGACCCGAGGTAAATGCTGCACTGCGCTCTCCCGTTCTCTAAGTTCCTCCCGCACGAGTGTTCATTTCCACCCCAATCGGCAGTTTTTTTGAGCGGCCGCTTGAAACATGAGCGCCTGTGGAGTCTGGAAAGCGCGGCATGTGTGAACGTAGCATTGCACGTGCATCGTGGTCGGGGTTGTGGGTGGCGAACCCTGGCTTGGAGCCGTTCGGATGATACCTCTATGGTCCTCACGCCATTTTGGCTGGAGTGGGCGAGTCTCTTCATCCTACTGGGGGCGTAGACGCACTGGGCAATGTTACCTGACATCTATGCTGAACACACACAGACTTTTCCACCGTAACCGTCGTCCATGGTTGCAGTTTGTAGTCCTTAGAACTGTGAAGTTGTATGATGAGAAGGCCCCAGGAGGGGGTCAAGCCAGAGTCTCATTTCGAACCAGAGCCGCCTCCCATCCGTGGATCCGTGGAAGACTTGCCATGTCTTAGTTCCAGAAGATTGTTGCGCAGGATGCCCATTACGAACAGGATCATCTCTCCACCCGTGCATCAGTCGCACCATCTTTTTTATTTCCGCTGACTTCGATGTCTAAAGTGGTACGCAATGTTGGAACGGAACCGCCATACAAATACATATGTGCACGGAGCTAGGGCGAAAACATCATTTTGACAACGACCTCACCTCCGTCCACGTAGTTGCTGTTCTCAATCGGATGTCTGCGGCACCGATGCGAGCGCCACATTCTGAGAGCGGCTCGCCCTCCATGCGCGCAGACGTTTGATTTCTCTCTTCGACGAGTATGCTCGGGGGCGAGGCGAGGTTTCCATGTCGGAAAGCGGTGCTCCCTACTGTGCCGTGTTTAATACATGCTCCGCGTGCGGATCATGTATTGAACATGCAGGGATTTAGTATTAAAAACAACGATAGGTTCATGCGTATATTTATGCATCAATTAATCATGTACTAAACAATTTATAGTTTTAAACATAATCATGTACTAATCATCTTATAGTTTTAAGCATCCCATATATTAAACACTGCCCTGTATTTTCCCAGCTCCAGGGTCCACGCTGACATCGCAGGCGCAAGCCCCGGGCCCGCCCTGCCGACGCGCGTGGTGGTGCGAGGAGGAGGAGGAGGAGGAGGAGGAGGAGGAGGAGGAGGAGGAGGAAGAGGAGGCGGAGGAGGAGCAGGCGGAGGCGGAGGACGCGGAGGCGTTTCGGCGGAGGAGGAGGCGGAGGAGGAGGCGGAGGGGGGGGGAGGGGAGGCGGAGGGGGAGGGGGAGGAGGAGAAAGAGGAGGAGGAGGAGGAGGAGGAGGAGAGGAGGAGGAGGAGGAGGAGGAGGAGGGGAGGAGGGAGGGAGGAGGAGGAGGGGGGGCGGAGGTGGAGGAGGAGGGGGCAGGGGGAGGGGGAGGAGAGAGGACGGAGGAGAGGAGGAGGAGGAGGAGGAGGAGGAGGAGGAGGAGGAGGAGGAGGAGGACGCGAGGACCGCTCCCTGTGCCAGGAGCGGCAGGGAGGGAGGGGAGGGGGGGAAGCGAGGGGTGCCCCGTGCTGCCTGCGCCAGGCGAAGAAGAGGCTGACGCAGCTTCAAGGCGTAGGCCTCAGACCCGCTCCGTCCAGCGAGCAGCGCCTCCGTGGCCGCATCGCTGACAAGGGCCGATCCGAGCCCCGACAGGGCGGGCCCCTGCGCAAGCGCAGTCCAGGATCGGGAGACGTCGCGCTCCAGCGCGTTCTGCAGCGGTCTCAGAGCGTTCCAGCCGTACCGGTTAGGCCCCCCGGCAGGCAGAGGTGTCTTCCCCCCCAGGGACGATGTTCGGGGGGGGCGGGGGGGTCCTCAGAGAGCGAAATCTCGAGGTCCGAAGTATTCGGACCTTTTCGTCGGTTCTCGGCGGCTTTTCAACCTCTGGATGCTCTCCAGCAGCTGCGCCTCGCTGCGAGCGTTCCAGGGGTGCCCGGATCGCCCCGAACGGCCGCCGGAGAGCCGAGTTATGGCCCAACATCTACGGCGCAACGTCGGGGGGTGAGTTTGGGCTTGGGGGGTACCACGTTGCCTCGTCGGCCTCCTCGGGGCGCGGTGGAGAACTCTGTCGAGGTCCTCACCCGCCCCTCGTGGTGCGGGCTGCACGCAGCACACTCTCTGCGAGCCACACCCTCCGGAGCCGGCGACCGAGGAGAGGACGTGATGATGACGACCGCCTCCATGATCTCCGACCAAATGCTGGCGACCTGCCGCGAGGAGAAGATCATGATCTCCGAGGCGGACCGGGAGGGAGGCGCCCTCTCTTGAGGCCACGCGGCGAGGTCGTGGACCCGGACACTTTTTTTTTCGGCAATCGCTTCGGAAGCGTGACTGGCAGTGGTCCACAAACAAAAAAAAAACCCTCCCCCCCCCTCCGCCCCCCCCAGGGGCGGACATATGCCCATATCCACCGCCCGCTGGAGTGCCAGGACGTCCGCTCTCCAGGCGGCGGGTGTGGATATGTCCCCGCCTCGGACCTGTGTCCGTGGTGCCTCTTGTCTCAGAGGCTTTTTGTTTCGTCGGGTCCCCGCCAGAGGGGATTTTTTGCCGATGTCCCGGATCGCCCAGGTTTCCCACGGAGATGCGAGCTGAGTTCAGCCGAGCCGATCTGGGCTGATCTAGCTTTTGGAAGTCATCAGCCTCGAAGAACGACGCGCCGCTGACGAGCGAACAATGCGAGACAATTCTGAAGGCTGTAAAAGAGCTTCTGATGAAGCTTCTGCGTAAAACCATTGAGATATGTTGTGTCATTGCGGTCAAGCTGCCTCCGCCATGGGCAGTACTGGATACGATGCGGGAGGGCGAGAGGTCATGGGCAGTCAATGCATGGGCCTCGAACGGCCAGGCGTATCTTAGGAGCCGACTCGGAGATCGGCTACAGATGCGTTTTACCCCCAACTTGTTTTTGTTCGACTACTGTACGAACAGACGACGTAAACACTCTACGCAGGTTTTGTAGAACCGACGGGACATCAATGTTCGGGTGAATCAACTCTGGAGTCCTTCTCCTACTCGAGGAGATGTGTCGGGCGAGTTTTTGGGGGTCTCCTGGGCCAAGCGAGCCATTGTAGGAGGCCCAGTGCTGCCCCAGGTCGTGTGTGGGCGAGGGCGGCACGCCCCCTCTCAACCCGGGCTGTCGAATCCGGGGTAGGGGGAACGTCGGGGTGGGGGAAGATCAGGGGCAACGATGGGGGGGAAGGCTCGGGGGAGAATGCATCGACCCGCGATCGCCGATTCATCGCCGATAGGGGTCTGGCAGCCCACCCCATCCTCCTCCTCCTCCTCCTCCTCCTCCTCCTCCTCCTCCTCCTCCTCCTCCTCGCCCAGCACCGTGCGTTTTCGCTGCCGGGGGGGCAGGTCGTCGATCTGTCGGCGGGGCATCGCCGATTCCAGCTCCAGGTTCACCTTTTTATCAACCCTGGCATTCCACCGTGCTGTGCACTGCTCTCTGCTGGCTCTGCATGGTTTGCTTTACCCACCGGCCGTTGAAGGTAGGTATGTTTCGATTTCCAGATTCCAATCTACCTTGAGCGCCTTCCTACTCCAACGCTCGAGTGGCTTCACCTTTTCTGTCCTCCTCAGGGGGCGGACGGAACCCAATCTGTTTTCAACGCCTTCCTACTTCATGTTTCTACCTACTTCTTCTGACCGATGGGTGCTTGTTTTGGTCTTGGGGCACCTACAACACATGCGCCCTGTTGTGTCGGGTCTCTCTGCAGGGTGAAGTGTCACCTCACAACTTTGCTCTGCTTTCTACGCAGAAGTCTCGCGGATCGTATGAGGACGAAGGCGAGCAGATCGCGCCACCCGAAGCATGCTGGTTCGGCCATTTAGTCAGACGCCTCTTTCGCAGCCGACGAAGGGTCAGCGGGAGGACCACGCACTCCTGCTCGTTGCAAGATCATCGACCTGGGATGGGATAGCCAGAGGGGTCCGGGCGTTCGCGGCGGCGAGCGCGGCGGCCACAAAAAGGGGGCAGGTTTTTGTTAAGGAGGGGCATGGCTGCCAGGGGTCGGGCGGCGGGTCATTCGGCCGTTGTCTGGATCATTGGCAATCCTCACCATGTAGAGCACGTGGGGCACAGCGGGAGTCATCGGGCTCCCCCCGCCGCTTTTGAAGTGAGGGCGCGAGGGATTGGGGGGGGTGAAGAGGGCGTGTGAAGGCGGTGATGAGGGTTATGATGGTAGGCGCCCCAGCCATTCACAGTCTGGCAAGTGCGCCCCAGGATGCGTTCGCTTCGAGTGGAACTCGCGCGCCAGAGTGGCAGCGCCCTGCGCGACCCGCCACCCGTTGCGTTGCGCAGCTGGTGCTTCCAGCGCAACAGGGGCGCAGGGCAATTGGGTCGCGCTCGCTCGTTCGAGCTGTCCGCCTCGGGCCCTGCCCGGCCCCCCGCGAAAGCCCCCTACTCATGCTCGTCGCGTCCCCGCTCCCCCCCCCCCCGCCAGGCCCAATTATTTCGCGCGCTACCCCCAGCGCCCCGAAGAGTCCGCAATAGGTAGGGGCAGTGAAATCGCCCTCCGCACATGCCCCCCCGGCAAACAGGGATCGCCGAATCCCGCTTCGCGCGCGGGGCGCTGGCGCCCAGGCGCCGCGGGCAATCCGAGCAGGCTTCGTCGTTCCAGCGCAGGCGGTCGCGGTCCAGGCGCAGCGGCCGCGAAACAGGGGCGATGTTTTGTCAAGGGCGGGCGCCGGCGATAGGGTTCGCGCGGGGGGGCGGCGTTTGTTATTCATCGGCAACCCCCGCCGTGCAACGCGCGCGCGGGGCGCGGCGGGAGTCTGCGGCCCTTGGCGGCGCCCTGGAACGCGCGACATCGCGCGTTCGTTTGGTTGAGGACGTGCGGGGGATGCGGGGGCGGTGGGGATGGGGGGGAGGTGGGTGGGGTGGGGTGGGGCGGGGCGGGGTGGGGTGGGTGTGGTGTGTGCGTGTATGTGCGTGCTGCGCGTGTGTGTGTGCGTGTGTGTGTGTGTGTGTGTGGTGGTGTGTATTCGGGGGGAATGGCGAGAAGGGTGCTCGACGTCGCGGCCAGGCCCCGTCGGGCAATCGCGCCGCGGCAAACGATCGTTTCGAGTGGAAGGCGCGCGTCAAGGCGGCACCCCCCCGTGCATGTGGCAAACTGCCATTGCGCCGCGTCCCTTTTCCAATGCAAATGGTTCGTGGGGCAATGGGGGGGGCGCCTGCTCGCTCGAGCCGCATGTCTTGACCCTCGCCCCCCGCCCCCCCTTCTTTCCCCCCTTCAGAAAACAAACAAAACTTCATGCTCATGGTCGTCGTGCGTTCGCCCCGGCTCGAACTATCATGTTCGCTGCTTCCAGTGCTTCCATGGGTCCGAAGGGGGGGGGGGGGGGGCAGGGGGGGCGGGCGGGTGGGCGGGGCGGGCGGGTGGAAGGGGGGGGATCACCCGTGAAATCAGGGGTCGCCGATTTCTGCCTTGCGCGCGGGACGCGGGGCTCTGGCATGCGGGCGTCGCAGAACGTCCACGTGGACATGTTCAGTCTATGTCGGCGCCCGAGGCTCTTGTGGGTCGACTTGAAGTCGCCCATGACAGGTTTGGTCGCGCGCCGGTTTCGTTCGGCGCCCTCCCCCCTCCCCCTGTTCAGTGCCCAGCCGCATGTGGCGAATGTTTCGGTTGGCTGTTCATGCGTTCCTCGCCCCCACTTCCTCTTCGCGCGCCCCTCGCCCCCCGGTGCCGCCTGCGATTGCGGGGGCGGGGGCGGGCGGGGTTGGGCGCGAGAGTCATTGCCCGCGTCCCGGTTTGCTTTCGCGTTTCCCGCCCCCGCGCGGGGGCGCCGCCTCTGAGTTTTGGCGCTCGAGGCGCCCGAAGTTTCATAAAAACATGCGCCGCCCCCCTTTTCCCTTCCCGACTCCGCCTCGGGGTGAGGACGAGGAGAAAGGGTCGGGGCGACGAGGGGGGCGGGGGTGCAGGGCGGGGGGCGATGACAGCGAGGGCGAGGCAAGGAATGACGTGGGAGGGGGGGGGTCGAGCAGGGAGACAGGGCGACGCCGGGGGCGAAAGACAGCGGGAATGACAGCGACAGTGCCGAGCGGGATGGGGATGGGGGCGACGCGGGCGACGAGCATGGAATTCTAAACGCTTCGTGCAACGCCGCCAGCTCATCCAGCAACGATGCCCAGACGAGTTGCACTGGTTAGGGAAAGAGGGGGGCGCGCAGAAGAACCAAAGGACCGTCATGCTCCTAAAAAGGGGGGAAGGGGATCGGGGAAGGACGAGATGGGGGAGGAAGGGGCGAGGGAGGGAAGGGGGGGGGGCGGGGAAGTGGAGGAGGGCGAGGAGGGGTAGGGGGACGAACGACCAGAGAGGAGGAGGAATGGGAGGATGAGGGGGAGGAGGAGGAGGAGGAATCGGTAGGACAGCATCGAGGAAGCTGGGGGCGAGCAAAAAGGCCAAAGGCCCTTTGGGGGATGTCTCTTGGGAGATCCCCGGGGGCCTTTTGGGACATCTCGGGGGCCTCTTGGCGGCCCAGGGGGTTTCTTGGAGCGTCTTGGGTGCCTCGGGGAACCTTGTGGAAGTCTCTTGGGGGCCTCATGGGGGGCCTTTTCGGGGTCTCTTGGGCCTCTTCGGAGCATCTTCGGGCCTCCCGGGCGCCTGTTCGGGCAATCTTGGAAGAGAGGGATCGAAGGAAGGGGGGGTCCTAAATTATCGCTGCATCATGGATAACCCGCCTCTGGGGCCACTTTTGCGGGCGCTTTGGGGCGCTCTTGGAGCCCGCTCCCTTGGGCCCTCCAGGAGTCATCTTGGGCCACCGAAGGCAATCGAAAGCAAAAGGGCGGGAAGGCAAAGAACGCGTACATTTTCGGTTGGTGCTTGATGTTGGCACCCTGGGGCGTCCTGGAGGGGAGGGGCTTCGTGGTCATTTGGATCAGTCTTGGGGCGATATGGGGGCCTCTTGGAGCATGTTGGGAGCCATGTGGAGCTATCGCGGGCTATCTTGAGCCATCTTGCAAATCATCTTGGGCTCCCTGAGGCGCTCTGGGAGCTATCCTGGGCCATCTTGGAAGCTCCAATGGGTCGCGAGTCCAGGGCCAAGGGGGAAGCGTTTGGGGGAGTTGTGAACCCCTCGCCGAGGGGCAAGAGGGGAAGCTGGCAGAGGAAATGCCTTAAACCAGTCACTCCCAGAGGGCTCGTGGGACTTCGCAACCTTGCGCTCGTTTGGAGGGGCGGCTGATTCTCTCTTGGTCACTACGGTGCGTGCAATGAATCGTTGACGGAACCGTTGTG